TCATGATGATCATGCCAGCAATCATATTTGGGAAGACCATGAAAGAACTGGGACATAAAATGAAGGATGCATACGGAGTTGCTGGTAGCATAGCTGAACAAGCAATCTCATCGATTCGCACTGTTTATTCATATGTTGGTGAGAAGCAAACACTAAAAGCCTTCAACTCAGGTCTTCAAAAAAGCATGGAGATTGGCATAAAACAAGGTCAAACAAAGGGAGTAATAATTGGTAGCATTGGTTTGCTATATGCTACATGGGCATTCCAATCATGGGTTGGTAGTGTTCTGGTCAGGACAAAAGGAGAAAGTGGTGGCCCTGTGTTTTGTGCTGAGATATGCATCATTTGGGGAGGACTGTGAGTACCATCAGAATTTTCCCCATTTCTGATTTTTTGGCTAAGTAATAAATATTTCAAGTTTCAAGATAAAGAGTGTGTTTGGATTCTCATCCACAAATCTCATACATGGATCAGAGAAGCTACTATTAATAACTTTTGGTGTGTTTTGATGTAAAAAATTGATAAACATGGATCAGTAGTGAGAATCCTAATACGCACAAAGGCTCTTGGGGGGAACATGTTGATATTACTAGGGAAATTGAGTTGAACACACTCAAATAGTCTAACAAGTTGTTGAATCCAACGTATTTTTATTTTTGAAGGAACCTGATTTTGTTCTTGTTTAGATATGAAATGAACTAGTATTGAATTGGTGCAAAATATGTGCTTCTTTTGTCCATGGGACTTCACACTAACTATGACTGTTAACTTCAATTTAAAATGCACAGGTCCCTGATGAGTGCACTTCCAAATCTTGGTTTCATATTAGAGGCAACAACAGCTACTACTCGGATTTTCGAGATGATTGATCGAGTGCCAGCCATAAATTCTTATAAAGAAAAAGGAAAGGTCTTAACACATACAAGAGGAGAGATCACATTTAACGATGTTGAGTTTAGTTACCCATCAAGGCCAGATCAACCGATTCTCCAAGGACTCAATCTGAAAGTGCAGGCTGGTAAAACAGTAGGCCTAGTTGGAGGGAGTGGTTCTGGCAAATCTACTATCATCTCTTTGCTTGAAAGATTTTATGATCCTGTGTATGGTGAGATATTGCTTGATGGATATGATATACAGACACTCCATCTTAAGTGGTTAAGGTCCCAAATGGGACTGGTAAATCAGGAGCCAATTCTCTTTGCAACATCCATAAGGGAGAACATTCTATTTGGCAAGGAAGGAGCTTCAATGGAAGCTGTTATAAGTGCGGCAAAGGCAGCAAATGCTCATGATTTCATTGTTAAACTTCCTGATGGATATGAAACTCAAGTAAGCTTTGAGTTCTGTCACATTCCATACTTCTTATTCCCCTAACTTTAATTAGCAAGATCCTAAACAGACAGTGATTTTGTTTGTGATTGGATAATGGTGTAAAAACTATTTGGACTATCAGTGTAAGGAGACTCTTTAGCCTAATTTTATATTGTACTATTAGATTTCTTACAAAATGGCAATTTGTTTTTTAGGTCGGACAATTTGGAGCTCAGTTGTCTGGAGGGCAAAAGCAAAGGATTGCTATTGCAAGGGCTTTAATAAGAGAACCTAAAATCCTACTACTTGATGAAGCCACAAGTGCTTTGGATTCACAGTCCGAAAGAATAGTGCAGGATGCCCTTGATAAGGCTTCTAGAGGGAGGACAACAATCATCATAGCACATCGCCTTTCCACAATTCGCAAGGCTGATTCAATAGTAGTTCTTAAATCAGGAAGAGTGATTGAATGTGGTTCCCATGATGAACTACTCCAACTGAACAATGGACAAGGAGGGACTTACAGAAAAATGCTGCAACTACAACAAGCAACAAATCAAAACGAAAATGCATTGCCACAAATAAACAAGAGCCCCTTAGCGATGGTAAATCTAACAGGTTCAAGTACAAGCCGGCAAAATAGCCCAATTCACCATGCATTTAGTTCAACACAAGCATTTAGTCCCATATATTCAATCAGTGTTGCAGGGTCTAGTTGTGATGACTACAGCAGCGAAAATTTGGAGAAATCTTCACATGCAAGTTTCTCCCAGTGGCGTTTACTAAGAATGAATGCCCCTGAGTGGAAACATGCTTTGCTTGGGTGTTTAGGGGCCATTGGCTCTGGAATATGTCAGCCAATTTACTCCTTTTGCTTAGGAATAGTTGCATCAGTTTACTTTATAAAAGATAACTCTGTCATCAAATCAGAAATAAGGTTGTACTCCTCCATCTTCTGCTGCATAGCTGTTGTCAACTTCATTTCAGGCCTCCTTCAACATTACAATTTTACCATTATGGGAGAGCACTTGCTAAAAAGGGTGCGAGAAAATTTGCTGGAGAAGGTGCTGACTTTTGAGATGGGATGGTTTGATCAAGAGGAGAACAGCAGTGCAGCAATTTGTGCTCGTTTGGCAACTGAAGCCAACTTGGTTCGATCTCTTGTCGCAGAAAGAATGTCACTGTTAGTTCAGGTTTCTGTTATGGCTTTGTTGGCTTTTGTACTCAGTTTAGTTGTCACATGGAGGGTGTCTATTGTCATGATTGCAATGCAGCCTTTGATCATTGCATGTTTCTACTCAAAAAACATTCTCATGAAAAGTATGGCAGGCAAAGCAAGAAGGGCTCAAAGAGAGGGTAGTCAACTAGCAATGGAAGCTACCACCAACCACAGGACTATTGCTGCATTCTCATCTGAGAAAAGGATTTTGAATTTGTTCAGAACTGCTATGGAAGGTCCCAAGAAGGAAAGCATCAAGCAATCATGGATTTCTGGTTTCATATTGTCAGCTTCATATTTTGTAACCACAGCATCTATAACTCTGACTTTTTGGTATGGAGGCCGGTTATTGAATCAAGGACTGGTGAAATCAAAACCTCTTTTGCAAGTTTTCCTCATTTTGATGGGCACTGGTAGACAAATTGCTGAGACAGCTAGCACAACTTCTGACATAGCTAAAAGTGGAAGAGCCATTAGTTCAGTATTTGCAATACTGGATAGGAAAACTCAGATTGAACCGGAAGATCCTAGACATAGAAAGTTCAAAAATACTATGAATGGCCATATAAAACTGAGAGATGTCTTTTTTTCGTACCCGGCAAGGCCAGATCAAATGATTCTCAAAGGCCTCAGTCTTGATATTGAAGCTGGCAAAACAGTTGCATTAGTGGGACAAAGTGGCTCGGGAAAATCCACCATCATTGGATTAATTGAAAGATTTTATGACCCCATGAAGGGATCCATATCCATAGACAATTGTGACATAAGGGAATTTAACTTGAGAAGTTTGAGATCACGTATTGCCTTGGTGAGTCAAGAGCCTACCCTCTTTGCAGGAACTATACGTGATAACATTGTGTATGGCAAAAAGGATGCATCAGAAGATGAGATAAGAAAGGCAGCACGTCTTTCAAATGCTCATGAGTTTATAAGGTACACTTTCTAGTCTCAAGATGTAAAAAATGGATTTAGTTCCTATATTTAAAAAAAAAAGGTGGTGGTTTTGGCCATTATATTTTCTAAAATGTGGTGAATTTCACCTTGGTCAAGTCAACATGAAGTATAGAGTTAGAGATCAAAGCCACAGCATTTCAGAAAGAGGAAGATTAAAATCATTAAAATGTAGAGACTAAAACAAATTTTGACCAAATCTTGAAGTACTTAAAACACATTTTTATCTTTTTTTAGTTCACTTTTGCAATAGGAACATAGAAAAGTTAGTTGCATTAGTAACACAACTTGTTTGATGTAGTTCAATGAAAGATGGTTATGATACTTACTGTGGAGAGAGAGGAGTGCAACTATCAGGAGGGCAGAAGCAGAGGATAGCAATTGCTCGAGCAGTGCTTAAGGACCCTTCAATCCTTCTGCTAGATGAGGCAACAAGTGCTTTAGACAGTGTGTCAGAGAATCTGGTGCAGGAAGCATTGGAGAAAATGATGGTTGGAAGAACGTGTGTAGTTATAGCTCACCGTTTGTCAACAATACAAAGTGTTGACACCATAGTCGTGATTAAAAATGGGAAGGTGGTGGAACAAGGCTCGCACAAAGAGTTATTGAGCATGGGATCAAACGGAGCTTATTACTCCTTGACTAGGCTACAACATGGCCACCTAACTTGAGGTGATATGTACAAATATGCGTATTATTTTTGGATTACAATATGCTATATCACCAATGTACCCAGCATTAAGCAATTTAAAATATCATAAACAATTTTGTACCCAAAATATATTAAAAAAATCAGTAGTTTAAGTTTAAAATAATGAATGCTTATTTGTTGATATGAGCTAAGGATATTTCTCCTAACAAATAGTCGAAGACTAATTCTTTTCAAAGTGTATAGATTATCAAATTGAATTTTGTCTTTTTCAATAAAAATTTTAGATTTCTCTACATGCACGAATCAAACTTCTGATAACATATTTAAGGAACTCAATTGTTTGATTAATGCTGAGGGTTATTCATTTGGAACAAATAGACATGCTTCTTATCAAGTGACTATTTTATTGGTCTTAGACTAGAAGCCCAAAATACTCCAATCGTATCAGATCTTTTACCTCTCTCCCTACCAAATGGCTTGACATTTTATATAGAATCTAAAATCTACATATATATATATATAATTTGAACGAAATACTATTAAAAGAGAAAAGTTAGATATATAGTTTATTTGCGAACAAATTTACAATAGTTGGCATAAATTCCAAAGGCCTGTTTTTTAAAATGTATCGTTGTTTATGAATAAAGGTCTTCACCAAATAGAAAAAACAACACAAGTAATAGGGGAAAATGCAAAATTGTAATGTTTTGTCTCGGTGCACACTTGGATTTCAGATGGAAGAGTTCCAGTATTTTTACTCTCGGAAACAATATATTCTTCGTTCTTCATTTTATGTATTTGAATTCACAACTTTGCAACAAAATTTGCGAAATTACTTTCCATCTTTATTCCAAAGACTGCCTCAATTGTTAGGATGTTTACATTGACATTCATACAATTCCCAGACTAAAGTACTCATCTATTAATATGAAAGGAAAGAAACAAAATTGATTCAAAATTTCAAATAAAACAAATTTGAGTTGGTTTTGTTTCTGATTAGAAGTTTCAATACGATTATTGGCCGATTTAAATACTTGACACTCAAAATAGGAGAGAAATTTGGTGGCAACTGGTTACACACACAGCTCAACTCATCTTTTGTATAGGTCCTACTCATGGCTGGTACACCACGAACTTCTTCATGGGACGCTTGCACTCTTGACAAATTACAGTTCCTTGACTTAGTCTTTCATTTTCTCTTGAGGGAACAAAGTAAGAGTGAGTGCAACTCCCTACAACAAAATCAGGGTCTAGTTGGAAGTTTCTTGGAGCACAAGAAAATCTCAAGTTGACTATATTTTCTCTCAAGAATTCCATCACCTGCTGCATCCCTTGAAGCCTGATAACATCAGTTGAACCCCCTCTTCCAATCACTGTCCAACCTTCCTCTCCGTCATCCATGTCAAGCAAGGCTGACAACTCAGCTAGTACATAATCAGAACTTGGTGTCTTCCCTAGTCTGAGTTTAGACCTTCTCATACTCTCCAACCGAAGCCAAAAGAATTGTACACTTGAGAAGGAAAGTGGATCACTCAGATTTATTTCACCACTTCTTGCAATTATTTGCTTAACATGTTCACCTATTTGACGATTACCAACATATATTGTTTCCATCTGCAGGCCTGCTCGTTTGAGCTCAGTTATCTTATCATTGAATTGTTGGATCCAAACCAAGTTTTCACTCCCATAAAGGCATATATTTTTGCCTTGTTCAACCTGGCACACAGTACAAGGTAAAATCTAGGCATGTTACTTGCAATTAAACTGCTAAAATCTGCATGAAAATATGCTATGAATCAGACTCCTACCCAATAAGCAAGGAGAGGATTGATATCACCCAGCAAAAGTTGCATTGTCAAATTCTGATCTTGCCACAGCTCTTTCTCTTTTGAAGATGAAAATGGATAAGCTTTGGCTCCCCAAATCTTGATCATATCAAGAGCATTGTAGTTTGTGATCTTCCCTTTTGAATCTAGAGCTACCATGATTGGCTCATCCTTATAGTTCCATTGTTCCCTTATGTACTTCACCACTGCTGTGGTAAGTAACATTGGTTTCCGAACAGCATGCCAAGGCAAGGAATCTGACAGAAAATTAAAGCTACTCTCTTCAGCCTCAGTCCATGTATCAGAAGATGGAAGGGGAATCCACACAATCTTATAACTCTCCCTCAACCTCTCATTCAGAGGATGATCACGTGTTTGCTGGAACAGTAAGAATATTTCTACCGGATTGAGCAGTTGCGGTTTTGAGATCAACAACAGAACTATATTATTTTTCAGTTCAGACACACCAACCTGTGGATGACAGAAGATTAAGTTTAGTGGATTGTCAAGGATGGAAATAATTTATAAACAAGTCTCATTTTTAAAAATATTTTAACAAATTTAACCTTATAACTACTGTCATACTTCTGGAAAACAACCGTGTATTAAAATATTCTATATACGTGTGATTTGTTCAAACCCTATAAAAAGTAAATATATAATTCTAACGTGTAATTATCTTAAGTAGGCTTAGTGGTGGGAATGGGGTAGTATATGTAGAATTTTAGGTTGGAACCTTTATGTACAATTATATGTTATAGAATTAAGTCTTACATGTTAGAATAGGAGGAGAAATAAATGTTTATAAAATATACATATTTTATTGATAAGAAATATTTTGAGTGAAATGATTAAAAATAAAATTATGAAAGACTTATTCTATTTAAGTATTTATAAGATGCTATCTTATTTTAAAAATTACAAATTAAATTTTGATTGAAAGTAAAATAAAATATAAGCAGTAATAAAATAATTTTTAAAAATTATATTATACATCACAATAATATTAAAAATGATAAAAAGAAAATACTAGTCATCATTCACCTAATTTTAATTTATAAAAAATAACATTAATAATAAAATATGATAAATCAATTATATATATAATCATGATTAAAAATTAGGATCCATAAATTTTAAAAATTAAAAAATCAATTCTATGTATTTTATAAAATAATGACTAAAAATTATTGTATGAATATCAGCAAAAAAATTATTCTAAATGTGCTATATTTTAGAGAAAAAATAAAGTTAAGAGTTTTTTTTAAAATAAGGGAATGTGAATTTAAGGGGGAAAGAGATAGAAAAAAAAATTGAAGAAGAAAGAGAAAAAATAAACAGAAACGAGAACTTTTGGAGACAAAAATGAAAACTTTTGGAGAGAATAATAAAAAATATAAAATTGGTTTTTAGTAAAAAAATGAAAAAATAAAAATAAAAATTATTTATGCTGATGGCATGATTCGAACTTAAGTATTTTTTAATAAGTTCTCATTTAAATTAAACAAACTTTGTCAAATAATTTATCAAAATAGACTCAAAACATCTTATGAATTACTCATAAGATATCTATCTATCTATTATATAAAAGTCAAGTTATACCTTATTACATTGACACATTATTATAAAATTAATCTCACATGTTATTATGTCAACATATTTGTATGTGTCCAACTCTCACTCTTATATTATTATGTTGACACATCATTATAAAATTAATTTCACACATAGCCATGTTAGCATATTTTCACGTGTTAATTTATTTACACTTTATCTTCTATTTTTATATTTTTCTTTTACCCTCTATATATTATTACATCTCTTCTATCCATTATCTTGTATTGTCTAAATTTCATCCCATTACAATCATCATCATCAGAAAACATCTTCCTTATACAATTTATTCAATCATAGTCTCACTCTTTTATTGTCTAACTTTCATCCCATTATAATTATCATCATCATAAAAAAATAGTATTTTTTTTTCATTTTTCTCGATTCACTCTTCTATTGTCTAATTTTCATCCTACTATAACCATCATCATTAGAAAGGTACTATTTTTTTCTTCATTTTTTTTCTTAATTTTGATTACTCATAACTTTCACTCCTTAATTGTCAAATTTTCATCCCACTATAGACATTATCATTATCATCAAAAAAGTACTATTTTTTTCTTCATCTCTTTCTCAATTTATTTTTATATTGTCTAATTTTTATCTCACTACAATCATCATTATCATCACAAAGATAATACTTTGCCATTTTTTTTTTCGCTCTCAATTTTGATTACACTCAACTCTAAATCCTCTATTGTTTAATTTTCATCCCACTACAATTATTATCATCAAAAAGGCACTATTTTTTTCATCCATTCCTATATTTTAATTACATATAATTTGATATTTGATGATCCATTTTACGTGTCAACTTTTCTCGATCTTTATCTTCTATTACATATTTCCTTTACCCTCTGTATATTATATCTTCACACTCTATCTAATTTATTTCTTATTCCCTTTGTTTAATTTTCATCTCACATGACAATCTTTGTCAGAAATAGAAGATACTATTTTTTCTTCCTTTATTTTCAGTATTCTCAATTTTTCACACTAATATAGGATTTGATACTCATTTATAACAAAATTGAGTTTATGATGTTTGTTTTCCAATGTGTGTTTTGTTTCTGTATGCACACGATCAACATATGAAGAGTGAAAATCTAATAAAGACATCAAAATTAAGTAAAAGAAGATATAAAGACAAATGCTTTAATTTTTGTAATTTCTTTCTTATCGTGGATTTGATATATTAAACATGAATTTTAAATTATTTTAATATAAAACCATTAATTTTACAGAAAAATGGTGGAAAAATAAATTACTAATGCTGAATTGGACTCTCACTTGCATGTTCATTATCAATATAACTATTTATAATATTTTCTTTAATATTAATTTTGTCATCTTTCTGTATCAAATCACTCAATATTTTCTGAATTTTTTATTTTTATTTCTTATTTTTCTTCTATTTTCTTCTTACACCACTCACATTTTTTTATTTTCATGGATATATATATAATTTCATAACTAAATAAACAACTTAGTTCTTCCTTTCCTTTTATATATTATTATTATTATTATTAAATATTAATAATTGTGATAAATTATATAAATCATTATAATTTGTATTAAATAACTAATAATTTTAAATTATATTCAATTAGTAATTATATATTAATAATCATATTAATTAATAATTAAGAGAATAAATTTGATTAAAATAGTTTTTATAAAAATTAAAGACAATAAATATAATGTAATTATTAATTATAAGAAAAAAACATTTTTGTTGGTCAAAATAATTTGAAATTATATTTAATTATTAATTATATATAAAATAATTAGTTTATTAATTAAGAATTAAATTTCATTAAATTCCCAGTTTCAAACAAATAATAAACAGTATAGTCATTAACATTAATTATAAAAAAAACAATGTAATATTAATTGTAAACTAAAGTATTTGTTAATTTAAAATTAATTTAATTAGTATATGTATCATTAATTTTATTATTTAAGGAGTTGAATTTAATTAAATTCTCTGTTTTTAAAAAAAGGAAATAAATATTATAGTAATTAATATTAATTTTAATTTTAATTATATACAATTGTTAAACAATTTCTTTTACCAAAACCCAATAATTATTAATTAAAATAATATAGTATTATTACAATTAATATAGAGTAATTGATACTTTTATCAGTAATTATATATATTATTAATTACATCCAATAATCATAAATTAAGAGATTAAATTGGATTAGAATGTCAGTTATAGAAAATATTAAATAATAATTGATTATTGTTAATTATAAACATAAACATAAATAACATATAATTAATGATTATTAATAATTAATAATTATTACAGATAATCTCATTTATTAGATAAATATCATAATTAAAAATACTAGTATAACATTTTATTTAATAGTTTAAAAATAAAGTCAAAAAGATTTTATTAAAACTTTATAAATGTTAAAATAAGAAATGTACAATTATAAAATTTGCCCAATATAAGAAAAAATTGTTTATTAACAGTTTAGAAAAATGATTAAAAGTAAGTTTGATTTCCAATAACATTTTGTATTATACTTTTTTTCTCTACTTCTTTATTTATTTTTATTTTTACAAGTTAGTTTGAAAATGATAATCGAACTTCACACACAATAATATATAATTGAGTTTGAATTAAATAACTTTAATAAATATACTAATAAATATTATTCTATAAAAATTATTATATAATTAGTTTTGATTGAATTGTCTATAAATTGATGCAGGAAAATTGCATAATTACTAAAATTTAGCCACAAAAAGGATTAGAATGTCAATAACTAACATTTATCTTTGTTATTGTAAAAAAAAAATTCAGTTTTTTAAAAATATTTACTTAACTTTTATAAGAATATTTCTTAACTAACATTGTATAAGATTTCATATGATTGATAATAACATAATCCTATGTGGTAGTGAAAGGAGAAATTATTATACTAATTTTTATAAAATGTTATTTTAAAATAAATGGCTGAAAACTTATAATGTTGATTTTCATTGTTATTGTTATATATATAAAATCTAATAATTTTTTCTGGTGTCAAAGTGACGATAGTTGTTTTAATTTTTTCTATTGTAATGTCAAATAACATGTTCATTAGTTATATCTATAATTTTGATTATCTTTTAATGTCTCTTATAATTCAATGATAATCAAGTTATTTAATTTGTCTAAAAAATCATGTTAACAATACAATGAACTTGAAAAACTAAAACCACAATAAAAATTCATATCTTACTATCTATATTTGTTATTTCAATTTTTTTTTTACATTTATTAAATATAATATAACAATTTTAATTTCTTTAAAATATAATATATATATATATATATATATATATATAATTAAAAATGTGAAATATTAGTGGATGGCATGTCA